CCGTTGTCAGTACAGCACTTTGAGTAGCAAACGAAAAATACAAAAAAAAAAAGGAGAAAAATAATACAACAACAACACCAACAAGAACAGTTGACATGAAACAAAACGTTCGTCGCTGGACTAATTGGCTTAAATGGGGAAAATTTATTTAAGCACATTAGTGGGATTTTGTTTTCTTTGTGCGATCAAATGATTTCCTTCTCTCCCGATTCGTGTGTGTTTGTGCAGCAGCATATATGAATCATACATGTATGTGTATATATATATATAGTATATTAGTGTGTGCATCTGTAAAGATTACTTTTTTCGCAATAGTTTTTTTCTTTTTTTGTTTTTCATCGTTGAACCATTCATTTTTGTTTTTGCTTCTCTTACCTTCTTGTACTTATTATATTTTGTTGTTTTCTTAATTAACTTTAACAGCTGGCAATATGCAACATCAGCCGCCACCAGTCAGATTTTAAAGAAGGATAAGAGAGGTTGTTGACTTTCTATCAGTTAAAGAGATGCAGAAGCGGGGAAGGAACACGGGCGCACAAGTAAGGTGACGATGCAAGAATAGAAGTCACATTGAATTTATGCTAAAAATTGCCGTAAAAAAAATGTTTTTTTTTTTTTTTTTTTTTTAAACTGATGCAACAAAAAAAAAAGACATTTACGCTTAAATATAATATTATTTGCGCGTCCCGATAACGTGGCTTCCGATTCAATAACAATTTAGTATTATTGAAGGCAGACGTTTTTTTAAAATATTTTTGTTTATTGAAATGAGAGAAGCAGAGAGAGGGAGAGGAAGAAAGAGAAAGAGAAAAACTTGTGGGTAATCCTTATAAAATAATAGTATTGCGGTTCTGATTATTCCAAAAATAGTTGGCGAAAAAGATTCTCGTATCTCATAAGTAAGTTAAAGCGAGTTTCACTCTTGTTCTTTTTTTACAAAATGTCAAATGCTTTGTATCCAGTTCCAAGACGTAAGTTATTACTATCACAATGAACTTCAAATATGTCAAGGGCAAGAAGGGAAAAGTGAAAAATTTTAGAAAAATCATTATCATGAGTTGGTTTTCTTAAAGAAGTCATCAAAAGCTTTGCATTGTTAATCGGATAAGCGAAATTTTTTTTATAAATAGCATATTTCCGGACAAGAAGAAAAATATATCGCGCCCGTTTGCGGGATAAGAGAATACAAACGAACATAGTTGATAATTGGTGTAAACAGCTAAGATAGCTTTAGCTAGAGAATAGCATCGTAGTATGTTACTTACGAAATCACCCTAAAACTTTCATTTTTCTTGCTGCTCTTTCCTGTATTTTTATAGCCACAATTTCAAGCGAATAACGTCCTTTCAAAATTCCTTTCAAAATTCCAATCATGAATATCATGGACTTCAAAAAGACGCCAAACGTATATTCAGAAAGTGATCTTGATCGAAAACGAAAATACTTTACTTTCTCTCCGATGAGTATACGTGAATGTGTTCAAATAAATATGATAAAATTATTATACTCTTGCTCTTCAATTTTGAGTATAAAATTTGTGCTTATTAGCAGTGCGAGTAGTCATCTTCCGATGCTGTAAATGAGTTGATTATTATGCAAAGAGGAAGGACGTGTTTGTATAACAGCGTAAGCTAGAATTCAACGGGATTTCATCCACGTTTATCTTTGAAGCAACTATGCATAAATAGTTAGAATTTGTTTGATCAATGTATTGCATATATTAAAAAAATAATTAAAGTACGTCTCTGAAAGGAGGACCAAATAAGTGAAGAGTTCAGAGTCACGAAGTAAACGTTTTGTTTTTAATAAAAAATATTTATTTATTTTTTATTTATTACTCCCATCAATAAGATCCAATAATTAAATAATAAAAAAAAAAGCATATTGATTTTCTGCAAAATTTGAATTTACTCATTAGCATTTTACCTTACTTACTGTATTTATTAGTCCTTCTAAAGTGATGAAATTAATCGAACATAGCTCCAAAATTTTCCTGCGTTATTCCATTGCACGATTTATCGAGACTCTTCAAATAGATCTCAGATTCCTCAACGACCGCATTTATATGATATAAAGTTTTTTCGATTGAGGCAAGGGGCAGCATTTCAAGCTTTAATTCAAGGACATTTTCTCGCTGAACGATACAGCGCCCTTTCTCTGCTGAGAGTAAAGGCCGCACCGCTTTTTCTTGCCTAAATTTTCATCCAAAATAGTGAATAATACTATTTTCTAATATCTTCCGGACATCGACAGTCTCTTCAAAATCTGATTATCGGCTATCGAGTGAAATTTTTAAGATTTTTTCATTTACTACCATTTTTTTATCGGTAAACATTTTCTTTCTTGGGCATTGATTGCATTCAGCATCGGGCGATGCCGTTTAAAATTGGCGATCCAGCGATAAACTGTTCCTTTCGTTGGGTGGGGACTTTTACCCAAAACTTTCCAAGTCAACGTTGAGTTTGATAAAGTCTTTTTTCCCGCTAAAAAGCTACGTTTAGTCAACACCAGAACTTGAAATTTGCTTATTCACTGCTTTGAAGTGTCACTAAAACGACTATAATTTTAAGATCGATCCTTTTTGAAAATCAAATGGATGTAGATGTGCCAGTTTCCCAAATTATTTATTGATATGTTATTTACTGACTTCTGTAAATAGAATATGAATGCATCTCTCAATTAACTAGCACACGTTTTCCAATATGCGCTTGCTGCGCAAAGACATAGAATCTCATTAATTAGTCGCCAACGACAATCATTATTGGAACTAAACTGAACTGAAAAATTGTAAAGTTAATCCAGACAAGAGGAAATTTTATTTTGTCTAAACCATTCTGTTTTGACACTTAAAGAGAATAGTTTTAATGAACTTGAAATGATGTCGTTGGGAACTAAAAGACAAGAAACGTATGGGAACATGTCGAAGATTTCAAGCCTCTTTTTTTTTACTCTCCTTTACTACATGTACTCAATCATACGGTTTAACTATTACTTAATCGCGGTATCTTGCAAAGTCGCCCGTCGAAAATTATTTAAGAAATAGAATATTAGAGGAACATAAAAAATAAATAAGTGTTTGGTTTAATTTAATCGCTTAATGAAAAATTTTAGCCAGCATTAGCAACACTTTTTCGAGTTTATTAGTGTTTGAAATATTAATAATTTTCACAACTTTTATCTTGTAAATTGAAATCATCTCTCGTCATCATTCTTTAGATCCGTCGATTACTCTGTCAGTAACTTTCGGACATGTGTTCGTGCGTAGCTTGATAAGGCCCTGACAAAGAGGCTGCTTGTTCTCATCACCATGTAAGCAAAGCTCTAAGCCAATGAAATAAAAAAAAAAAAAAAAAAAAAATAAATATAAAACTTTTGTTTAACTATTTATTTAAAAACAAATCATCTAAATGAATATTTATACGAATGTACAAATAACAATTAAAGTAAGAGACTACGAGGATTCGAATAAAGACTTTTTAAGATGTGAGGGAACAAACAAAAAAAAAAGAAAAGAATAATGACAATAATAACAACCATACAAAGTAACTGAGAGAAAGCGCACGTACTGATGAGTTAATACAGTTGAGAGATGTTGTTCATGAAAGACTATAAGATATATGCAGTTGGGTAGTGCAAGCCAAAATTGCTTTTTAAATTCTTTTCCCGGAACTTAAAGTACTTTATTTTAAGTTCGTATACACTCCCTTGGTTACACGATTGATGAAAAGATGACTCGATTCCACTAACCAGAGGTAGCATTATTGTTAAGTTAACCACTTTTCGTTTGCAACGCTGTAAGTATTTTCTGAAGTTAATTAAATTTGGGAACTTACTTACACACAAAAAGATGTCAACGAGGATACAGAATTGTTTCAAAATTAATTTCCATTAAAAAAAAAAAACCTTATATTTATTACAATATATAGAAAAAAAATTAATTCACTTTAAGCACAACGGTACGTCTTCTTGACTATCTTTCGAAACTAAAATTGATTAGGTGTTCATCTAACAACAATGATATGCAATAAAATGATATACAACAATGCACTTGTGTGACAGATGTCAAAAATAAAGGAAAAATCAATAATAAACGGGAAGCTGCTGTAAGCATTTTACATAAACTGAAGAACTAAAGGAAAAGCTTCGACTGATGATAACATATGCTTGTCGTCTTAAAGCTTTTATTGACAACAGAGATGCTCAGAGTTTTTAATAGCAATAACGATAATAATTGTAACAATGAGACTAACAATGGCACCGGGGATGCCGTACTGTGATGACAAGAAAGCACCCTTAACAACTAGCACTAACACTTGAACGAGATGCTAATCAAAAGCATCAAAATGTTAAATGTTTTTAGCAATGATGCGTAGATTGTGATAAAGAAAAGACCAAAATGACAGAAATTGAGAGAATAACGTTCAAAAAAAAAAAATGAACGAGAGAAAATCAGGATGAGAGCAAAGCACAGAAAAACAGAGAGAGAGAGAGAGAGAGAGTGAGTGTGTGTGTGTGTGTGTGTGTGTGTAGTTATATGAAACATATTATAAATGTCATGTTATTTTTTTGTTAAAATTTTGATATTTTCAAGGCTGTTCCTTCTATCTTTTCAATTAAATAAACAAAATGTTTTGCTAACAATCATAAAAACTATCTTCCTTTCAGGTGATTGGAATAAAACAAAATCGAATTTCATATCAATTAGGGACGAATTTAATGTTTTTTGCACATTTCTTCACATTTCTTCGTACAGCACATAGTTGAAATGCGTGCATAGATAGACAAGACAGGCTCTACACATTTTTATGGTAAATGAAATCCTCGTGTTTGCGTTTATTTGAAAATGTCAATGTATGTTAAGTTAAGTTTTGTCTGTTGTGTACATTCAAATGCACATGCATGATGATGATTTTTCTGTTTCTGCTTCTCAACAGCTGCGTACATACACGCACATAAATATTCTATACTACTTTCACGTACGTACTCCACATACTATATGAACGTTCACTGTTATTATTGTCGCCGCGTTTTCGTTGCTCCTGTCATTTCACATCGTTTTTGACAAACGTCACATAAAACGCGAGTAAGAGTTTTTTGTGACTTTTGACCAAATCGAACGAAATTTGTGATATTTTTCTAATAATCCTTTTATTTATTTTTTTTTTTAATTTGGATAAAAACCAACAAAAATTATGTTCCTAACCGTGAATACCGTTGAAATGTGTATTTAAAATAAAAAAAAATCAATTACTCGATGATAGCTAAGAATACAATTTTTGGATTTCACAAATGTGAACCAGAAAAATGCCACTGAAACTTTCCAGCAAAATATAGCAAAAAAAAAAAAATAAAATAAAATAAATAAAAAAAATAAAAAAAATTAAAAAAAAAAAAAAAAAACAAGAATTCTAGATTGTCTCGCAATTAGAAATTTATGGTGTCGCGTATTTGTGGTTCGTCGGTTGAAAACATTGTCGTCGTCGTCGTTGCCGTTGCCGTCATCATTGTCGTTGTCGTTGCCATTGTTGTGCTTTATAGAGAAGTCGGTGTCGGTATCATTGTTTGCATTGTTGTTATTATTCTAGTGCTGCTGGTGTTTGCCTACAGCCTGGGTGTTGAAATAGGAGCCGTTCGCTGTAACTAGTAGCCACCACGCGCGCTTTGTGGTTATTCTAAGTGGAATCACTGTGATGCTATACACGGTACCATAGTAGTTGTGCACAGTAGCTGAAAAACGACTTTCTGCCACGGTGTCGTGTTTAGTCATCGAGTTTTTCATCTCACACTAATACTTATGCATACACTAACACATCATTGTGATTAACAATTTTCTTAATTTTTTGCACACATACTGACAATCGATGCCGTTCACTGTATTGTTATTCCTACAACCGATATTTTCAATCATTTTTCTTTCGAAATTAAAATTCACAAGGAAAAGAAATATTAATTGAACCGTGTTATAAATTCTCAGATGCTTTCGCTCTCATACTCTGCTCTATGACTAGAAAGTTGTAAATATTTTCAGAGAGAAATTGTGTTTACATTTTGCCCTTTTTTTTTTTTTGTTTTTTTTTTGTCTACTTTCTTCAGATATCCGATTGCGTGAGGGTGTTTGTGTGTATTTAGGTGGATATATATAGATATATATATATATATATATATATGCACGAATACACATATATATGTGTGATGCGTATTTGTATTAGTGTGTGCTTGTTCTTTGTTTTTCTCATACAATGTCAATAACTTCTTCGTAACGTTTGTCTCCGGTGTGTTGTCCTTCAAATATTTGTGTCTACTCGGCTTCATTCCCTTACTCGTGCTCTTGTAATTTATTGCAAGCATTATTACAAAACCTGTGCAGAATTGCATACGCATGCATGATATATACATATATATACACATATATACGTCATATACGTTCACGTACAATTGCTTACACGTTTGTATGCGAGTAATCTATACATCAATGGGAAAGAAAGAGTGAGTTGCATTTAATTTAATCTTAAAATGATGAGTAACCTTTGCAACAACCTTGTCGGTTGTCTCTGAATGATGACAACAATAGCATATATATATATGTGTGTGTTTGTGTTTAAATGCTTCAGACTTTCACTCATATGCAAATAAGACGAAATAACATTTTGCTACTGCATGCCATTCACTATACATTATGGATATCAACAGGTTCTCGGAAAATGGTAATTAAGTGGTAAGTGTGAATACTTCTCAGTAGAATTTTATGCCTCAGTCATTTAAATTTAATTCATTATAAATAAAATAAATGCTCAGTTTCCGAGTGTAATAAGTACCGAGTAAAGAACTTTCACCGATAAGATTCTGTAACGAAAAGTATCTTATATCAAATTGAAAATTGAAAAACTGTAAATTTCTAACACCAAGGCTTTTCAAATGTCGAAAATTATTTTTCACATATCATATTTTGTTGATGAATTCTTTGACTTGTGAACTCTCACACTTTACTAAATGTTGCGATTAAAAATGGAAAAAAATTTGCGTTAAAACCTTTTTAAAGATCACATTCTCCTTGCGTTGATAGTACTTCTTAACTAGCTTTGCCTATAACTAGCCTTTAACTAGTGCCTATAGAGAGGCCATCTGACTGGGCTACTGAGGAATTAAGCAAAAAAGAGAAAAGTCTATATTTTTTTCCCGTATGATAATTACTCCTGACGTTTCATCTTACGAGAGCATAACGCAGGCGACGAAAGTAGGAGTTAAAGTATGCATGCAGACATGCAATAAACTGCTTTCGTCTATCCGTCCTGTGCATGTTTGAGAAATATGCTTTCCATATATCTAGTAGTAGAAATTATACGCGGTATCCTGGTAGCGGTGATGTTGGTCGACACGGAAAGAATGGACAAAAGCGCAAGTTTTTTGCACGACATGCTTCGGCGTAAAGCCACACGAGGGCGATATCTGAACCCCTAATCTCGTATGCAGATGGCGCAGGGTGAGGATCAACAATCAGTAAGGGCCCTTCAGAAAGTAAGGGGAAAACGGTTCCGGGATGATTTTACCCCAATGTCGTAAGGCCGCTAGTTGACAATGCACAGCAATTGAATCAATAGGTAGGTAAATAGAAAGATAGATAGGTAGTTTAAATTTCTTAAAATGATTGATTTAAAGTGGAACAAAATAATTTTGAGCTTCATCTTGTTTAAACCTGTGAAACAATTAACGAGCAAAACTGAAAAACGTCACAGATTTAAGTGATAATCGCTGCTGTAATCAAAAGATGAATTGTGATCAATAGGATGTTGACTTTTTAAACTGCGTTCTAATCAATGGAATCTTGAACGCCGTGGCCTGAAGAAGCTTCCTGGGATAGAAGTCTTTATATCTTATTCATAGTGTAATCGTATGCTTGTAATTGGTTTTGTAAATGGTTACTCAAAGTTGCAAATGAGTATCATATTTTCGGACAAAAACCATTTCGTTATTAATTTTAAGTCTGACATCATTCTACGATTCTATGCTACTAGCCTTGCCCGGTTGTATATATTTGGTGTTAGAACGTGCCAGTGCGTGGAACGAGTGCAGCGTTAAATCTGAATTATATCCACCTTGCTTGGATCATGATACCCAGCCATCGATATGAATCGGGGGCAATATTTACTAACACTAAGATAATATTTAGCGAGAAAATGAAAATAATCTATTTCGCTAACGATAATTAGTATTTTCTAGCTTCCGGTGAAAAATGAGCTAAACAATTGATCGAAACCTTTTCCTTCAAATAATACTTTTAGTTTTTACTTCTTTTAATGTTATAATGTTACTGTCGATCCGCCTGAGTAGTCGAAGGCGAGGAATCTCGACTAGCAAGTCAATGATCGTGGGTTCGAGTTTTTAATAAAAGCCGTTAGCCGATAGTTATTCGTTTAACAACATTGGTGTTAAAAAAAAAAAATTAAATACGAATATTTGATTAGATTGTAATTGTAATTATCGGGATCTGCTGAATTAGTAGAGTTTTATTTTCCAAGTGTACGAAGATCAAATTGCATTTTTATTTTTTCGTGTAGGCCTGCTGTGCATTTTACCGGAAATTTACAGACATTTCATCTGTAGTGCGATCTTGATTTTATCAAAAATTTTTTAAATATAATTTTGCAACTTTGTGTCGAGATCAATTTCATGAAAAAGTCATAACAATATTTTGTCAGACGTGCAAAAAAAAAGAAAAGAAGAAACCTATCCAACGAACACTTCATATATTAAAAGGCAACCAGATAATAACAATAACAAAAAAAAATAAAAAAATAAAAAAATAAAAAAACAATAACAAGAACAGCAAGAGTAATACCATAAACGACTTGGGCGATATGTCATTTGAATGCAACATCATCAAAGGTGTTAAATTATTCTTTTTGTACGTTTTTCAAGGATTTTGACACTTGAAACAAGTACACTTTCACATACATATACGTGGTGTGTGTACAAACACATAACATACATTGCATTCAAACAAACAGCGGTTAAGAGCAACAAAGCTAAACTGAATTTCAAGAGTCTGGTCGAAGTGAAAATTGAGATGCCTTCTCAGTCCAAAAACAGACAAACAAACAAAAAAAAAAAAAAGAAACAGAGGGACACATACCTGGTGCGGACATCTGACTACGTAGAAAATATTCTATATGAAAACCAACATCATCATGTTTTATCCTCAAATATCGCAAACATAACAGCAATCATTACGATTTCTTCTTGGTGTTGCTAAAGTTTCTGTTTTATTTGGTTTTCTTCTACTTTCGTATGTTGGGATAGTGCTGTGTGTGTGTGTGTTTGTGTGTGCGTTGTATCATATTATATTCTGTTTATAATGTTTGATTTATGGTAGAATGTCAAATTATCCTTGATAAGTCATTAATATATTTTTGGTTCACAATTGTTTTTGTGTTTGCTTTTTTTTTTATTTTTTTTTTATTTGTTTGTTGATATTGTGGTTAAAGGAAAAAAAAAAAAAAAAAAACAAGAGAAGGTGTTGGTGTCATTGTACGATTGATTGTTTTACTTGTATGTAGAAAAGATCATATGATTTCACTGGATATATGCATAAGAGTCACAACTCTTGATTATTATTATTATATACTTCCAATTTAATGAAAGCAACGAAAGGAATGATCAACTGAGTGAATGAATGAATGAATGAATGAATGACTCACGGATGTACCGAGCGACAGCTTTTAAGTAAATCGGAATGAATCGAGTCATATATATATATATATGAGTGAGTCGTGTTAAAGAATTTTCTGCTTTAACTTGTTGATTTAGGAATTTTTACGTCTTGTGTCTGTAAGCAGTTGTCTGTAAATTATTGTTGCGGTTGTTGTTGTTGTTGTTGTTGTTGTTGCTGTTATAGTTGTTATTTGGTTACGTTTGCTCATTTCATAAAGATGATTATCTTGTGATTATGTTTATTTTTATTGTTTTAAGATTATCAGATACCAGTTAGTCAGTCGTCCTCTGTTTATAATATACAATACATATATAACGAATATATATATATATATCTTAGTTTAGGTATTCGTATATGAGTTTGTGTATATTCATGATGCGTATGAATGCAAATGCGTTCGCTTGTAAACTTATATGATGTTGGTATGTAACGTGATATTTACTTGTTAGAGTTAGTTGTTGTGTGTTTCGATGCCTTTCTATGATTGTCTGTCTATGTGCTCTCGTCTGACTTGATTGTGATTCATGTTTGATTAAAATGTAGTTTTTACGAAGAGAAGCCTTTGCCACTGTAACTTTACTAAAAACGAATTGTTGACTGCATTTTAACGAATAAAACAACAAAATTGTCTGCTTACATAAAGAAAAAATTAAATATAAATTTATTAAAATAATTTTGTAAGCAAAATTAAAAAAAAAATAGTGTATATTAGAGTTTTCTCAAACCACTTAAAGCACTCAGATAATGCATACCAAATATTGTGTAAACAATTTGTTTTTGTTCAGCACAAATATCCGAATCGAGAAAAACCTATGGCGACATTCACGCAAATGCCCAGCAAAGATTTTCTTATCAGTTTCTTAATTCTTTGTTTGATTTCAATTCTTAGTTCTTTTGCTGTTTATCCATATGTTTGTCCTTCCTTGTAAGAAAAATACATTCCAGGCGGCGTACTAGCTATCACAATATGAAACTAAATTTTTTGTAAGGAAATGATAAAAATATTTTCTGCGAAAATTGTTCATTGTTAGGTATACCTTTTTCCCATCTGTGTGAGTATTTGTGGATGCCAAGCCAAAAAAAATATCTGCCTTCTTTGAGGTAAACTAGGAGCCGAGCCCATTTCGTATACGTCCGTAGGAAATGAAGTGTTGCTTAGCAAGTGCGTTTGCCATCGATACCATCAAGTGGTAATAGTTAGAACTCGAGCGAGTGATCAGTAGGACGCACTAAAGGACTAATGCTTCCGATGTGTCGCGAACCGATTTGCAGTTGTAGATAGATGGACGGATAGCGTGTAAAAAAGTGCACTTGTTTTGGCTTTTATGCATAGTGTGACGTCTTCTTGCAATGCAATGAAGCGATCTTAGGGTCTTACGTGGATGGTACGTTTGGCTTTACTCATAATTTTTGCATCTGGGATAACACAAAATAAATCAAAAGCATTGTCTTTGGTATCGCTCATGGAAAAGCGAATGCTATCGGTAAATACACAAAACTCGAAATCTTCGCAATTAACTCTGCTGTTGTATGAAATTGTATTGCTATGAGTGGCGAAATCTTTGCCATATGTCAGCAAGATAAAGGCGATTAAATAATAATGACGTTGACAGCTAGGATTATCTGCAAGCAAATTCCGGTTTCAAATTTACACTCTCACCCTCTATGACGTATTAATATTTTGAATAGTTGTTCAATTCTGATTCGATGTCCATGTTCATCCCCAACAAATCGTCCTTCTATGTCTGAAATGTTCAAAGTTGCAAGAGAAAGTTAAAGTTGAGAACATATGTTGAAAATGGGCGTAATCGCATTCGAATACTCAATTAATTAAGGGCAACTTATAATTTGGTACAAATTCTTAATTGTAGTTAACTTGCCGCTCGCGCTTAAAGAGTTTATCGACAATTCCGTAAATAAATAAAAATTTTACCACATAGTCTTTGAATAATTTTCAGCTTTCCTACCTATTACCGTACGATAAATTATAAATTGCGGCTAGTTGT